TAGAAAAATCCGGCTGGTTACAACTGACCCTTGGCCCTACTACTTCGCACATGATTATCACGGGGTTTTGGCTGTTTCAACTAAAATCATGTGAATTCTAAAGGTCCTCCGTGTTTACTCAGCTCTATTCCAAGTTTCAATCAATAAAAATTATTTCGACAATTTCCATTGTCTCTAATGACCCAGTTCTAATGGGTACAGCTCCAGCCCTAGGTCAGGTTTCACCATCAGTAAACAAAAATGCTCTGATCTAATTTCGCTGTTCAAATCCACTCTAATTTCACTAAAAAAAATATACGGGTGTGGTGTGTGTATGTGTGTTTTCCAGAGTCTCTCTGTCACACATGTAGAGTAAGCTATTATATCCTCCAATATTTTTTCCAAAGCATTCCTAGCTAAGTAGAGTGTAGCGTCTTACCATACTGGAAATACGATACCTTCTTGGCAGAAAACGCTACTCTTGTTTTTCTACATGAATTTGATGTGTCTGATTCTTTTTATTTCTTCTCAGAGGAATTTCCGATTTTTTTTTTCTTTCCGTCGCTTTTCTACGATTCTTTGAATTTTATCCATATACTTTATTAAATCCAAGTGTCCCGTCCAAATTGTCATCCAGTGAGTGATAATGACTGGGTCTCTCGTATTAAGCATAGATTAACAGACGGCCACACGTATGGAGCATCCGGTGAGGTAACTATCAACCACTGCTCTACACAGAGGCGCCTCGATCTCCCGTGTTGCATATTCGTGTGGGGGTTGAAATATTCTCAGCCTGAGGGAGAAGTCACTGGCTTAATATTATTCTCTCATTACACTCCCTTGTATATTTTTGTAAATTGATGTGATTTTATCACATAATTTTCTTTTATCTTATGTAATTTAGTTTAACGCATGCCGCCGTGGAATAATGGCCATGCCAAGTCAGTTCGTCTCTCTGGCTGCCCCACACTTGAGGTCTAATGTCAGACAATTTAAATTCTTTACAATGATTCTCAGGCTGCACACGGCCCAAGATCCACTCGAGGTGGATTAAAAGTCATAGTTTATGGAGATACGTGGGATAGATAACGGTTAACTCTGTACAGGAAAAGGTTAAGGCTATAATGACTGGGGAGTCGGTTCCGCAAGACGGCGTTTATGGGAAGAGACTGCTCGAGTGGAACTCTCCATTTTACCAATGGAATACGATAGGAATGAAGGTGTTTCGTTACAATGTGCGTGGATGGGCGGGTCTTAGCCGTGAACGTTAGCAATCGTGAAACTTAGAAATGTTGAATGTCTGAAATCTTTTTCTGAAAAAAGTGATGCAGAATCAAGAGGTTGGAATTGTTTCGAATATGAGAAGGGGGTTGTAGGGTAGAAAATAATTCATCACTCACAAGGATGCGGAGACATTTTTTAATTTTGTCGGGACTGGAAAAATAGGGGCAGCTTCGGCCCATATACGGCAGTAGTGATCCATTTTCTACTTGATCTGGCTCTTGTAACCGCAGAGGATTGAGTAGATGTTTTGGGGCTCTATCGAGACTGGAAAGTGAAGACGAGACGGCTCCGGTTCATATATGGCAGCAGTATTCCATTTTCGCCCTAATTTGACTCATGCAATCGCAAAGGATAGAGATGGTTTGGGGCTCTATCAAGACTGGACAACTGCTGTTCATATATGGCAGCAGTATTCCATTTTCGCCCTGATCTGCCTCATGTAATCGCATAGGATAGCAGAGATGCTTTTAGGCTCTCTCGGGACTGGGAAGTGAAGATTGGACAGCGCCTGATCATATATGTCAGTAGTATTCCATTTTCGCCCTGATCTGGCTCATGTAACCGCAAAAAAGTGTGGAGATATTTTTGGGCTCTATCGAGACTGGGAAGTGAAGACTGGACAGCGCCTGCTGATATATGGCAACAGTACTCCATTTTCGACCTGATCTGCCTCATGTAACCACAGAGGATAGCGGAGATGATTTTAAGCTCTATCGCGACTGGAAAGTGTAGAGTGGACAGGTGCTGCTCATATATGGCAGCAGTACTTCATTTTCGACCTGATCTGGCTCATGTAACCGCCTGAGATGTTTTGGGGTTCTATCGAGACTGGAATGTGAACACTCGACAGCTCCTGCTCATATATGGCAGAAGTACTCCATTTCCGCCCTGATCTAGCTCATGTAACTTCAAAGAATCGAGGAGAGGCTTTTGGGCTCTATCGAGACTAAAAAGTGAAGACTGGACAGCTACTGCTCATATTTGGCAGTAGTACTTCATTTTCACTCTGATCCGGCTCATGTAACTTCAAAGGATAGAGGAGATGTTTTTGGGCTCTATCGAGACTGGAAAGTGAAGACTGGACAGTTCCTGTTCATATATGGCAGCAGTATTCCATTTTCGCCCTGATCTGACACATGTAACCGCAAAAGATAGAGGAGAGTTTTTGGGCTCTATCGAGACTGGATAGTGAACACTGGACAGCTCCTGCTCATATATAGCAGTAATACTCCATTTCCACCCTTATTTGCCTCATGTAACCCAAAGGATAGAGGAGATGCTTTTGGGCTCTATCTAGACTGGAAAGTGAAGACTGGACATCTCCTGTTCATATATGGCAGCGGTACTCGATTTGCGCCCTGATCCGGCTCATGTAAAGGTAGTGGGTAGCAGGAGCAATCAAGTCCTTACTGGAAAATTAAAAGGAACCGGTCGCTTTTTCCAGCATATATACGAGTTCTAATTGAGGCCTGGGTTATCTTTAATCTAAATAGAATGCTCAAGTTCCGAAGCCTCACTCGCGAAAGTTCGGGCTCTGTTTGAGGATGAAGGAACATCATTAAGTAACATTAATAATTTGTTGAAATATTTATAGCCGGATGCGAGGAGCTGATTTTAAATGTGCTGGATTTATGGCTGAAAAGTTGCCCTTCGTTCCAAACGCTTGCTATAGAATGCCATTTGATGAAGTTGATATTTAGTACTTTTTCATCGCTTTCTTCTACCACGCTCTCTTGGGGGTCCTTTCCGAGTCACCCTTAAACAGAGTGTCATCTGCGTCTCTTATATGTTTAAACTACACCCACCGATAATAAATCCTGGCAGGCTCTCAATTTCACTTTGGTTAGCGTCACTGTAGAGATTGAATATATTTGAGGGGAAGACTCATCATTGTCACACGCCCATTTATCGTCTTGTGTAGCAACTCACTACATTTCTTGCCCGTATGACGGAAAATATGACACGGAAAGCCGAAGACTCATCGAAACAGGAAAATCCTGTTGGAAATAACGATAAGATTGCTCAACTGCTCGTCCTAAATGGCAGTGAATGCTGTGGTTCTACAGAAGGATGATGAGAATACTATGGACGGAACATATGATAAACAAGGAAGATTATAAACATTGAGGTGAAAAGGAAATTTTTGTTTAGGGCGATGGAGTGACAGTTGAAATTTCTAGGACTCATAATGAGGAAAGAAGGCTAATAATAAAATAATCAACTGTTATCTATTCGATGCCAATAGACTGAATCTATTCATAATTCCGAAGTATCTAAATATAGTACTAGATTGCCAGTTAGGTCTCAACAATTCTCTGTTGAAATTGCAAGATACAACCATAAGTTCTATGCGAATAGTTTCTCCTATCGCATTTCTTGTGTATGAAACTCTTTTCTAGCTTCTTGTTTTCTTGTTAACTACGACCTTCAAAAACTATTTAAATGCAACGTTAATCTTCAAATTATGTATTTAATCCTGTTCTATTATTGTCTTTCCTATTCAAAGTGGCTTTTGCTTTTTGATGGTTTTATCACATTACTTGGGATGAAATGATTAAAAAAGCGATAACACTCTGGCTACCATAAAAATAATGTTTGATCTATAATTGCATTCGATTGAATAAATTGTTGATTCAGAAAACTTTATATGACAACAATTCATGCTGTAAAAACACCCAATAAGTAATGTCGGAAATTTGCGAGCACAGAACTCATTTATATTTTAAACTTTCTAAAATGTCGAACATGCTATAAAATCATCCAATATGTAATGTCAGGTATTTGCGAGCACAAATTTCATTTATATCTTTGTATTTCTAAAGTGTCGAAAAGATAATAGCCCATGCAATGGAATCATCCCATATGTAATATCGGGTTTTTGAGATGACATTTTCATTTATATCTTTGTATATATAATGTGTCGAAAAGATAATATGCCACGCAATAAAATCATCCCATATATATATATATATATATATATATATAAGATTTAATACTTAAAATTACTTAACTTTAACTTTAAATATAAATCTTTTTTTTCCCCGACTTCAAATTTTTTTGTAATCCATTCTTAAAAGGAGTTCTGTTTTAAATATAAAATTATAGTGGTGAAATTTATGGCGGCTCTAAAATTAATTTTGATTTCCAAGACCAAAATAGATTTAGGAATGTAAAAATGAGCACATCTACATACATAAAAAAGAATGTAGAAATCATATATATATATATATATATATATATATATATATATATATATATATATAATTATTTCTTTAAAAATATGATTCCATCGCTACATAGCGAAATTTTTGATTCCAAAAATTTCGCTTGAAGATGGAACAGAGCTTGGTTTCATTCAATTTAATTCAGTTTAATTCAAATAATTATATTGAAGTTTTCGGCTATTGTTTTGAAACGTGGGAACTCTTAAGTAGCGATGGAATCATATTTTTAAATAAATAATTATATTTAGGCTCTACTTTTGTATCGAGCACTGTTTTTTTTTTAAATAATAACAAAAATACTAAAGAACTTTGGATTATTTATCTAACGAGTTCTTTCCTATTTTCTACATATTTTCACACACACACACACACACATATATATATATATATATATATATATATATATATATATATCAAGGAAAAAATGAGCAGCTCCGAAAGAGTCTGCCCAAAAGTAGGCTACGGGCATGAAAGTGCTCAATGCCATAAGAAATGTCAGAGTTTCAATACTAATTAAAAACCTACTAACAGTGTCAGATAGATAGATAGATAGATAGATAGATAGATAGATAGATAGATAAATAGATAGATTAACTGGCTGCGATAGACCAGTTGCCATCCAAGGCTATAGAACCCGGTCTGTCCTGTTATTTACCCATAGCTGAGGGAAGAAGAGGATTCACACCTTTCCAAAGGATATTAGCACGTAAGTGAATGTAATGGATTTGACTGGAATTCGAACTAAGAGGCACGCTGGAGTTATAGATAGCAGCCCGGGTTTGCGAATCAGAGAGCTGAGTTCGAATTCCAGTCGAATCCATTACATTTACTTATATCCTTGAGTCCTCTTCTTCCCAGCTATGAGTAAATAGCAGGCTAGACCAGGCTCTATAGCCTTGGATGGCAACTGGTTTACTGCAGAAAGAAATGGCAACCTACTAGCGGAAAAATCTACCTCGTCAGTCATGTATCGAAAGATACCTGATCGGCTAAGCATGTATCACGCATGGCACATAACTGACTGAAGATTAATTAGTTAGCTTGATTTCCTATAAAATCTAATCCTTATTTTAAAACATTAATAAATTGTATCTAGGGTCCGTTGTCGAGTTCTTTGAATTATCATATACTTGTAATTTGATTGGTCATTACATCTTACGTAAAAATATTCCCAGTAGTGGTTGGTTTTGAACTCTTTAAAAACGTTTTTTTATTTTAAAATCAATACCATCACTTGACAAGATACCAGATGTGTTGAAAGGAAATTATTGATGTTATAACATATTTATGTTATAATTTTTAAATAAATATTATATCTGACACTATAGACAAACTCTCCATCTATTTCTGAACATCTTTGTCTTTAGTGATTTTAATGCTTACCACGACACGTTGCTTAAAGAGCCGAGTACGAATTCCAGTCGAACCCATTACGTAAGTGAATGTAACGGACCCTAGATACAATTTATTAATGTTTTAAAATAAGGATTAGATTTTATAGGAAATCAAGCTAACTAATTAATCTAGCAACTGATCTTCTTGACTCTCATATGTTGAATACGACGAGTATATATATATATATATATATATATATATATATATATATATATATATATATATATATATATATATATTTCGTTCGGCAGGATCGAACTTGCGTTCTTCTCAGGTTTGGGAAAACCACCTTCAAATCAGGTGTGCTTTAGCCTGCACGGCCCCAAACGTGCGCAGTTGGTTATTGGTTTAAGAATAACCAATTGCGTTCTTTAGTGTTTGTGCGGTTGTTGTAAGTCGTGTTTTCGAGATAACAGAGGGAAATAAATAAGGAAGACAAACTCGTAGGTAAATAATGAAATAATAGGTTTACGATTCCATTCATTTATGTCCGTTATGACAGCAACCTAAAGCATATTTGGAATGAAGGTAGTTTCTCCAATATAAGTACCGATAGATAGGAAAACACTGCATGGAATCATTGGCTTTTAGCAATGGTCGAACTCTGCCGTTTGATATTAGTGAGAAACGTTAAACTCTTCTGGCCACTCGCTAGGCTATTTGAATAGATTTTTGATGCGCATGCGTGAAGTACTGAAATGTGGCGGGAGAAAAACAAATGTAGCTTGAAATGACGTAATGAAGATTAGTGGAATTAGCCGATTGAAATGCTTAAATTGTAATCAGGAATTATCGTCAGAGCTGTACGGAAAGCAATGAACTGCGAATTGCTTTGAGTTAAAACAAAAGAAGAAATTCATTTCGTTAAGATGGCAGGGGGTTTGGAAAAGAATGATTAGACATGGGTTTCTGCTTTGGAGAAAGAAAGGGAAAGAGAGGCATGAAAATTGAATGGGTAACAACAATAACAAAAATATCAACAAAAGGAGCAGATAAAAGGCGAACGTTTCTCCCGAGAAAATTGAGAAGAGAGAATGAGAATAAAAAGAGGAACTGTTAGTATAAACGATCCATTAGTAGAAAAAAAAGGAGGAGGTTGAATAGAGTCATACGAGAATGACTTATGAAGAAGAAAAGAGAAAATAATGAACGACTGGTAGAGAATAGGAAAGATGTATAAAATAAAGACTAAAGGTTTCTGGGTGAGCTGGTGGTTTAATTTATAAAGAAAATGAGAGACTAAAGGTTGTTGGAAGAGATGGAATTAGGGAATAAAAGAAATATTCAAAATAAATGCGGTTGGGAATGAGGAATTCCATAACAAAGGAAAAAGGAACATTTTCTTCAGTTGCGTAATTATAAATGAAAGAAAAAATTGAAATAAAATTCGAATAATGTATAAAGCGTAAAATAAAAGAGAAAATATGGTTAAAAAGGAAGAAGGAATGAAAAAAGAAAGAAAGAAGGAAAGAATGAAAGAAAGAAAAGATGAAATGATTTATAGAAAAGAAGCTAAATGAATTTATGTCGATATTAATTACCGACTACCGTTTTGGAATGGTGAAAATAAGTTCATTGAACGAAAAAAATGTTGATAATTAGTCACTGTCGAAATAGAATCGTTTCTGAAGAAATTCAACATTGGCATGCAACTAAGGAAGCTTTCAAGGCACAAGATTTTCCTCGTTAGAAAATGGTTAAAATTATCATTACCATTGCAAATATTTTTTTAATATAAAAATTAAAAGGATTACACACAAAAAGTTTAACCAGTTACGATTGATCTCTTGTCAGAGTTCTATTGAGGACTGAAGATACATTAAAGACAAAATCTTATATATATACAATATATCATCAAACACTGATAACAATTAGGCTTAAAATTCTTTAAATTTCTTCGGCTCGCTGAGGGAAGGCTGGAAAGACTTAATATATAAATTTACTTTTTTTACGGTAAATATACTTTTTGGTATTTTTTCTCTTCTTTGAGTTCACTATGTTTTATTGCAATTATTAAGAAAAATAAATTTTGAAAAATATAATGATATCAATAAATCTGTGCGAAAAAGCTCATTTTGTACAAATTTCTACATAAGCAATAAGTAATAGAAATATTTTTACAGTAGTTCATTATTCCATAGACAGTAATTTCTCTTCTTTTTTCCATGCTGATATGTATTTTCCATTTTTTATCACAAACACACAAATATACGTGCAAAAATCGGATCACTAATTATTATCAAGTTGCAAATTGAACTGGAAATCTCTTTAATTATATGCGAATTTAGACTATAAAATTTAGCTTACCTCCTAATTCTATTTAAAATTCGAAGTTAGCTTTTTTTTACATATCCTAATCCTTGAACAGCAGGAGTTGAGTGCTAAATTATTTCTGAATGATCTTATTTCAAACTAAATATATTATTAGTTCACGGATATCATTACATAATGTAGCAATTAGCAACATTTTCAATTCTTTCCCATTTTTAATTTTGATATGATTTCTTAAAACATACTTAAACATACAGATATCGATCATTTATGACAGGTTGAAAGCAACTGAAGATGCTACATACTAATATTAAATTGTTAATAACAATAATCACACGCCGATGGGCCGCTTTTACCATATTGCGTTAATACCACCACAACCAGAAAATGTTCAGTGTAGTTAGTTCTAAAATTCTTTGGTGTAGTTCTTTCTGGAATCATTGATGGAATTAATTCTGAATCTCTTACATGTAGTTCTAAAAATCTTCAATGTAGTTCGTTCTAAAAATCTTTGGTTTGGTTTATTTTCAACGTAGATAGTTCTTTGAATCTTTGATGCTGATCGTTCTAGATACCTTCCATGCGTTTCGTTCTAATTCATTGATGTAATTAATTTTGATATCTTCGATGTAGTTCATTCAAAAATGTTATCAGTTGCTATGACTAGTGATTCCGTTTTCATTTCAATTTTCCAATAAAAAACAAGGTTATTTTATTTTTCTAAGTCAACATTTATCTGTTATAAGTTTGCGACTGTCTTGATTTCTAAGATTCTGTCGTGCATATATAATAAGGTGACTTGTTATTGCCAGATATTGTAGATTTTTTTTTTACATTTAAAGGTGACGATTTGGAATGGATTGGTTTGTTTTAATCTAGACCTTATTCATTTTCCCAGGCAGTAATATTTGTCTATGGGACAGGTGTGATCTCGAATTGTACAGGTCAGAGCATATGCTTTGATTTCTTTTCTGATAGATACGTCAGCCGAATATGTTTTAGGTTTTGGAGCAAAGGCTGTGAATGAAATGATGTAAAATCAAAAGGATTTTGTCTTTTAACTCTGACTTTAAGAAATGGAAAATTGAGTTATTTGGGCGTGTGAACAGTTTAGTATATGGGCGGAGAATTATGTATAATTTCAGCTCGATTTTGACGATACAGGAAAAACGATTCAGAACAACAGAGACATACACGCAGCTGCACACCCGCACAGAGAAAGGGCCTGATATTCACTTGAATTTCTGATTGAACCTTGCTGAACAAATAGATCGCGATTCCTAGTCGCCGCCTTCTGATCTTTTTGTATTAATAGATGCCAATTATATCCGATTGTAAATTATTTTTTCACCTTCATTAATTCGTCTATATCTAAACGAAAGCAGCATTAATATTTCTGAGAGCTTGACTTTATTTCCAGTCAGTCCAGTCGTCAACAAGAACTTTACCACGGCTTATTGACTAAAAGAAGAAAGACAACTTTCTTCGTCACTAAGAATCACAAGTCTGGACGATCGACAACTTATACTGTCACCGATCCCTAAACCACTTTGGAAGCTGCATAACACTTTTTATACCACGTACGCGGATTGATATATCGGAACAAGCGGTGCCCGAATTGAGCGGCTGCACGTCGACGGAAAGCGAGACTAAACCAACGAGGCCTAAGAGAGGTGCACGGGAGTGTTATATATATTCTTTTAATCCTATAATGCACAAACTGGAATAGATTTTACTTCTTTCATCCAGTTTAGGAAGAGCCCAGAATGTATTAATATAGGTGACACCTGTGGATTTATACTTTTCCTTATCTTCATCTCTTCTAGAGAATTTTTTCTGTATTTTTTTCTTATAGCAGATTTCATTCAATACATATAACCCAAAACTCTCAACTCGAGTCTTATATTCAAAATGGTAATTGTTAATGAGGTGTGTGATAGAAGAAAAAATGGCAGGAAATAAGTTTTCATTTTTTAAGCGTAGCTTAGATGTGGCACAAGGCCGAAATCATGGAGCACCCATTGAGGATCGAACTTACTATTCAGTTGTAACTGTTTTAGCACGACAAACTTGCTAACCATTACACCCCGCCGAGGTGCCCGGAAATGATTTTCTAAGCGTAGATTAGGCGTGGCACACGGCCTAAAGCGTGGAGCACCCAGTGGAGATCAAACTCACTTTTCAGTCGTAATAGATCTAGCGAAGCAAGCTTGCTAACCATTACACTACGTCGAAGTGCCCTGGTAGGAAGTAAATATTATCAGGAAAGATAACTATTGACTTGAGGAGGTCAAGACTGAAGTGTTTAGGGAAGCGGTTAACTGAATTTTATTGGCTATTATTGGGAATGAAAGCTGTGTGGATCGTTTTATTTTATTTTATTTTTTGAGACACAGAGGAAATGGAAATGATTTGATTCTGTGAGTTCGGTACATTCTACCATTCCTTTTATTGAACCTTTTTCAATTACTTCAACGTATTTGCACCTGTCTTTTCATTTTATTACCCTCATTACTCTTGCATATTCTGTACCTTCTACTAATTCCTTGCTTTTACTTATACCATTTGTCTATAAAATAGAATCCAAGTCGTTTTCGTAGTTCATAGGGCATCACCGTTCCTTCATGGTCAAAGTAAATCTCTGAAAGGTCCTTGTTACTTTTATCGCTATGACTTTTAATCTTCACAACTTAGTTTTGCTAATGTCTTTTGTTTCAAATCAATTTATTTCCACATTTCAATTTTTAATATCTCAAAGGTATTTCTTCTTTTCCATTTTGCCGTTTGCTTTTAATCTCCACAATTGCTTATTGTTTTTACCGAAACCATTTGTCTGTAAAACATAATCCCAGGCGTTTTCACAGTTCTTAGTTCATCAACATTTCTACGCTGTCGGTGTAAATTTGAAACTCTAAAACTCTTTTATTCTTCACGTTTGCTTCTGTTTTTGTTTTTTTGTTTTTTTAATTTTACCATTTGTCGGTAAGCTCTAAACCAAATAGTTTGCACAGTTCTTAAAGCATCACCGTTCCCATCCTTTGTTATTATTGCATAAGAATTCTCGGGTAAGTATTTCATTGGACAAAATGTGCGCATTTTCAGAGAACCTGCAATTTTGTCGTCTGACTTCTAGCCGTTTCTTTGGCAGCTAAGTAAATTCCTTCTATTCTATAGATTTTGGATTTATCACCCAAATCTCTGGTTATAATCAACACATCAACATTAAACCTGTTTCCTAAAAGATTCAATTTATCTTCAACTGCATTTGAGCGACTTCCAAAGATCGACGCACGATCGACGCACGATTCATAAAATAAAAAAAAAACAACAACAAAGAAACAAATAATAATAATAACACATTCTGGTGACTTTAGTTTATGACGTCAATGTATTTCTTGAGATTGATAATGTATTTGCCCTCGTTCTTATGACTTATCTGGAACAGCCATATTGATGAAGAGATATTTTCTTGTCAACGAAGGTCATGTCTAGTTTAGTAACCCGTTTGGATGTAGGAATCCCACAAGATTTTTACTTGGTCCTTCACTATTTACCAGTTATCATTGGGACGTTGGGGTCTGTACTACCGAAATTAAAGTTCTAAACGGAAAAATCGGAATAATGTCGAATACCCCTCACTTCAGAAGTCTGCGTTGCCTTGCAGTGGAAATATTCCACCGAAGGTGCTCGCTGTCTGAGATTATGCATAGTGCAAGATCTCCGGTTGAAACAGAAAAAAAAGCGAAGGGAAATAATAAAAATAATAATTAAAAATTAAAGCTGTTCCTGTTGTGGTTGGAGCTTTGGGTCTGATAAAGAAAGGAACTCAACAATTAATCAACAGAATCCCTGATGCCCCATCTCTCCGGGAAATAACAAAAATACTTCTCATAAGCATAACCCATATACTGCGAAGAGCTTTGAAAATTTAAGTTGTTTGTTAATAGTTGTCTTTTATATAATAAAATAAAAACAAAAAGACCACATCCTTTGTTTATCTAGATTATTAGTCATGAGTCGTTAAGTGATTATAAAACAAATGCAGGTCAGAAATAAGTGTTTAAAACAATAATAATCATGATATTAAACAGTGTATTATACTGCTTCCAGGCTCAAATAAGGCGACTTATAGATAAAAATATATATAATTATCTTTATTGTTCGAGTTACGGTGATTGGGCAGAGTGAGGGAGAATCAAATAGGTTAGGATTGCGCACATAGGAGTTGACGGAGACAAATATTCAGTAAACCTCTAGCCAGCCTCAAGCCAGACCAAGAATCGGACCGGTTAAATAACATTTTAACACCTATGCAACTTCACGTGGTTATGCCTTCTTCCTGTATGTCGGCTACGCAACTTCGTGTGACTTCTCTCGGCATGCGTCCACGCAAGCACGCATTTCGATTCGCTCAGGACACCTGCGCGCCTTGTTTATTCTAGGATTAGGACACATGTGCACAATGTTTAGTTTAGCCACCAGATGCATTTCCCGGTTTACTTTCACCAGTTCCGATTTCCGCTCACACACTGATGCAGCAGAAGTAGGGCCAAAGATTTTTCCTCAACCGATATCCAGCAGTAGTAGTAGTTGATATAGAACTAATCAAATAAATAGCAACAACAAACATGAAACTTACAACCTTACAAACTATGAAGAGCTGGAAAAAGATATTACAAAGATTGGACATTTAAACACAATCACGATTCCAATATTAGAAGCAGTAAGAATAATTAAAAAGAATACTGAAAACGTTTTAAGAAAATCCCAGGAAACCCATGTAAAATTTTTATATATTAAGAACATGTCATGTAATATGTTCGATAACTTTCTAAGCGAAACCTTCCTTTATCTCAGGTGTCAGGCAAAAGATTTGGTAAAGGATTGCATCAAACAGAAAATCAGGAAAAATAAACATATTATTAAAGACTTTACAGAAATGGTTTTACTTACTCTTGGACTTATACAGATGATCAGTACTATAAAAGCTAGGTATTTTCATAAGGACTATTTTTATACTTATTTTCAACCAATATATGACTCAAGATCCACACGTAGTAGAAGGTTACTGAATGTAAGAGGAGGTGGATAAAATTGAAGATTATGAGGACGTCCTTTAGGAACACACCACATAGAAGAAGAAGAAGAAGAAGAAGAAGAAGAAGAAGCATATAAGCACAACCATTATTCTAGCAGTTAGAGAAAGGCGAATAATAATTATAAAGAATAGTGATACGCATATTAAACAAAATCCCAGGAAATTTTTGTCGTCGGAAGTACAAAAGACTGTGAAAGATAAGAACGGATCAGATACTTAGAAAAACCTATTTCAATAACTTTCTAAGAAAAAATTTCATTTACTTGGGGTCTCAGGTGAAAGACTTGGCAAATTATTTTATTATTCAGCAAATAACAAGGAAAATCCGAGAGTGCAACAATATAAGAAGCGTATCTACCAAGCCGGCTCAAAAAAGACTACAAAAACGTGCATAACGCAATAAGCAAATCTCTGCGCTGAAAGCTTGATATATATATATATATATATATATATATATATATATATATATATATATATATATATATATATATTATTAATACTACTGATAAATTTTACTTATTTAATCTGAAAAACGAATTATTTTATGTTATCTTGTTATTGTTCTCTCTCTTGATGTTATATACTGTGTTTATAATAACTGTTTGCTTTGATTGCGTTAATATTGTAACACACACACGCTAACTAGAAGAATACTACGACGAAGAAGAATACGAAGAACTAGAATTCAAAGAAGAAGATTCCTAATGAGAAGTATATACAGACGAAAAAGATTCCAAAAAATAATAATGAGAAGAAGAATACAAACATGAAGAATCTAACGAAAAAGAATCCAAAGAAGAAGACAAAGAAAAAGTGTGCGAATCCGAAAAAGTAAAATACGAAAAAGAAGTGTACAAAGAAGAATCCGAATATGTGACTGAAGAAGATTCTAAAAAAGAAGAATCCGAAGAAAAAGTGTTCGAAGAAGTATTCGAAGGCGTGTCCGAAGAAGAATCCAAAAAAGAAGAAAAATACAAAGAAGTGACCGAAGAAGATTTGAAAAAAGAAGAATCCGTAGAAGAAGTGTCTGAAGAAGAACCCGAAGAAGAAGAATCCGAAGAAACAGAAGCGTCCAAAGAAAAAGAAATGACCGAAGAAGAATCTGAAGAAAAGAAGTATCCCAAAAGGAATCCGGACAAGAAATGCCGAAGAAAGAATCTAAAAAAGAAGACGAAGTATTCGATGAAGAAGAATCCGAAGAAAAAGAAATGTCCGAAAAAGAATCAAAAAAGAAGAATACGATTCCGAAGAAGTGTCAGAAGATGAATCCGAAGAAGAAGAAGTGTCCAAAGAAGATTCCGTAGCAGAACTGTTGGTCTACTTTAGTAAATTGATTACTTTTGTTAATTGTCTCCCAAAATCCTTTTTCCGAGACATTTTATGATCTTTGATGGATAGAAATCAAGTTACTGCGTTTTCGTTAATGTTGTCTAGTGGACGATAGAGCACCTTTCATCATAGGGATCTTGAAAAGAGTCATGCAAAAATACTGGACTAACCGCGAAATTTTCAGCTCTAAATTTTTGTTTTGCAAAAAGTGATCATTATTATTACACAAAGTACAAAACGTCAAGGTATGGAGTTTAGTTTTTAATGTTGCCGTCTTGGGCTCAAACGAGTTTTTCAATTTCATGAGCAATTAAATAAATCTCGGTTCATATTTTCTCACTGGGAAAACTTTCTATCCCTTGTGAGAAGTTTTTTTTCACCCTATGCTAGGGTAGATGCGCCCCGTTATGACATACATTCGCACAAGCTTATCCCTTAATCTCTCTTACAATCAACATGTCATATGAGGATTAAATTTTCCAAATCCTCCTCCTTCATTTTGTGTCAATGAAATTTCAGCAGACTCTTCATGTTTCTGGGTATAAGTGTTCTTTTTGCTGCCATTTTGTTTAAGAATTTCTCGTTGCTTACTCATTACGTCCAAGAAATTCTCAGTATCCTTCTGTAGAAGCCATTTTCTGTGGCCTCTAGTTTTCTCCTCATCCGTGGAGAATGAATACCATATAATTCTTTTTGTTTCTACCGATATTTTAGCTTTACATTGACAGAAACTGATCATAGCAAAGGATAATGAAAAAAGAATACGGAAAAAAATGAAACCGATTCGGATATTTAGGCCATTATTATGGACTTGTCTTTCTTATTTGAATTGATTTGGGCACATCGACGTGGTGTAATGGTCAGCAACCTTATCTCGTTATTGATTACGACTGAGTAGAGAGTTTGTTCCACACTTTCTGCTTTGTGCTACATCTAAGCTACGCTTAAAAAAACCGCCTTATTTGAATTGATTTTTTGCTTCTTTAATTCCTTGAAATTTTATTTGTTTCATTTTTATTTCAACTTTCATGTTTTTTTAGATATATTATTCATATTTGAACTGATGTTCTTGTTTTGACGCTTCGGCCGTTGTGTAGTCCGGCCTTCATCAAGTGCCTGCTGATCCTGTTAACATTCAGAGAATTTAAAACTGAACATTCCTTCGTTCCGCTGTCCATATCTTCTTTTTCAGTTATTGTTTAACCACCGTTGTTGTTGCTGTCAAACTTGACTGCCTTCACCTCCGTTCTATTTTCTTACTGCGTCTTTTGAAGCCTTGTTTTTCAAATGATTTTCTTACTTTCTTTCTTCCTTTCTTTCAGCCAATCCTCAGATTGTGACATAGTCTAACAATTTCGCCCTAGCTTCTCAACCTCCGGCGTCTTACTCTCGGGGTTGAGGTGTCTACTCGGTCCTAAGCGAACTTAAGGGAGTGGCCATAGGTCCCCTGAGCATCCATAGATTATTCAACCGGTCCGCTGGTTTAATCCTGCTTCCTGTCTACGTTGTGATTTGTTTGATCCAGAAAGTAGAAGTGATGTCCGTTCATTCACAGTCGACTGAAGATGTAGACACGGCTGGGGAGTCTGCGCTAAGAAATTTAGAATGCAGCAAAAAAAATAATATCTGCAAAAAGCCAGACAAACATCGATTCAATGGTTGAATTGGTAATGTCTTTTATATTGCAGAAAAGAATAGTAGAGAAGAGAAACGGGTTACAGAAAAGAAAAGTTTAAAAAAAACCCCTCAAAACTGGATTTTGTTGTTAAATCGTCTCAGAACGATATATGACTCTTGCGATGGAGGGTAAAGATTTCTGTGCGGGTTTAAAGTTATAATGGTGTTCCACCTCCTAACGCTCGCCCGGGCCAATTCTCTCTTTTCTCTTCAAGAATTTTTCTCCTACGCATTTATATAGATAAACCAGGCTGGTTATAACTGACCCTCGGCCCTACTACTTCGCACGCGATTATCACGGGGTTCTGGCTGCTTCAACCAAAATCATGTGAATTCCAAAGTTCCTTCTAGCTTAGCTCTATATCAATTTTTAATTGATAAAAATTATTTCGACCATTTTCATTGTCTCCTAATGACCCAGATTCAACGGGTACAACTTCTGCCCTAGATCAGATTTCCTCATCAGTAAACAAAATGCTCTGATCTAATTTCGCTATTCAAATCTAATCCAATTTTGTTAAAAAAGAAAAATACGTGTGTGTGTGTGTGTGTGTGTGTTTCTCAGACTCTCTCTCTCTCTCTTTCTCTCTCTCTCTCTCTCTCTCTCTCTCTCTATCACATCGCGAGGAGGTCCTTTCTCGATTATTTCTATCGCGTTCTTTTATTATAATTGTTGGTGATGCGGATCAATTTGTAGTTTCTGTTGATATTAATCTTGACTCCGTTTATTAGACACGAACCGATTGGAATTCATTCCGCCATTTTCTTTCAAACGCCTCTTGAATTGAAATCCTTAACCTTCTTAAGGAAAATTGTGCCATTGAAGTTTCTTCAATGCTTTTGTGCCATCTTGGACATACCGGATGTAATAAAATCTTCTCCCTGGTTTACACTTACCCGTTTAGCAACTATAGTCCACAGGAATTACTTTTTCCGACTATAAAAGTCACAACAGACTTCGTGTTGTTAGATTTATAGTTAGTTCTCATAATTTTACTTTTGGAATTTCTAGATGAAGCCATTCAATCCTAATAGTTTCGTTACATTATTTACATTGTTCGGACTCTTGTCCTCATCTTTATTCCTATATTCACGTCGTTTTGACGTTGTAAGCTCCGGCCTTCTTCAGGTGATTGTAATTTCGAACTGAACTCTTTATTTCTTCTTTCGCACTTGTCGCTTGTAGAACTCTCTTCCGTCTTCTGGTTTCCTTTCAACAGGAATCTTCAAAAATTTAAATGAAATGTCAGTTGCCATCTTCTGACTCCTTAAATCATTTTTTTACTATTGTCGTTTCTCCTCAGTAACGTTTTATCATAATCTTTCACACTCATTAACTCCTCTTACGCTTTTGATATGTCCCGGAAAGGGATATATTTGAACGAAGTAGCTAAGTGGTTTTGGCGACTATTACTAAGTAGAATACGGTAGCAGTAATCGACTGGTACGCTTCGTAGTCGCAGGTAAGAAGTGTAGATCAATGGCGTAGTCCAATGGGCGTCGTTATAGACTTAGCTCTCAGACCAAGGCTCTCTGACTCTCCTACACGTCCGTCGGTATTTATGACGGACACCAGCCAATCATAGTCCAGTGAGGAGGAACACAGGTGTATGCATATTCCATTATATTAGTTTTAATTGTTTTATTGCCTTGCTTGGGTGAAATTAATAAAAAGAAACTATTTTTTAAACATATATACTCGTTCATGAAAGAGTAAATTTTGGGTAGAAAGAGGATCGACCTTCTCTCCCCTAAAGTGTGAAAATGGACTCTTCCGTTAACAATTAAAATGATCATATGCACTAGAACAGAGTCGTACAGCATTCATGAGCGTACAAATTCCTCTTTAGATGGATTTCTAACGCAAGCTTATTGTCTCTCAGTTGCGTCTCTGTCCTTGGACAGAGTGCGCTCAGAGGCTTCTCTGTCAAAGGACACAGGGGCAACAGCCCTGAGGAACAGCTGCCCGAGGCCGCACCCTATCATTGCACAAGAGGGAGGGATCGATGCTCGCACCGAGGCCAGCACAACCGACGGTTGCGGGGACTCTGGACAATTTTTGTACCTTGCCCGGATGCATGCGCTCAGGTCCCCACTTTAAATAGACCTTGTATCGTATCTCGTCCTTGTGGGGGAACGAGTAAACACCGTACAGCATTCGTGACGTAAACGCAAAGGGTAGTATTGTAATATTAAGCCACGTGATTAAACAGTTCTTTTCTCTAGTATTGTGTTCCACTGTTTTCCTTTGCAATTTTACTAACTCGAACAGCAACTTCTGAGTCAAGAGGAAAGATGAAGTTCTATCTACAAAACCAAGGTTGATACAAAAACAAGCTTTTTGGATCATTCAGAGGGGAACGAAACATCATTACTTATAAAACAGAAGCAGAATAAATTATAATGTGAGTTCGATTATTTCGGGACGAAAAAAATAGTTATCGAATCAAAATGACAAAGAAAAAAGTCTATGGGAGTACATAATTTCACTGGATTCTGTTTGATCTTGGAAATAGGCGACGAAGCCACTTTGGGGTTGGATTCACATATCATTCGCGTCCGTATTCATGAATATTAATTCCAAACTGATTCGATAGACATGTGTTGTGTTGCCTCAGTTAACTGCTCGTAATTCGACAAGCTGGGTGTTTTGATTGGATTCCTCCCGAGCTGGATCGTATACAGACGAAAATACATAATTTCACCCCAACAAAAACAAAAAGTAAATCTCATTAGCCATTGTCAAGTGTGAAAAAGGGTGTAACAGTTTTTTTTCTGTCATACCTATCAGAATAAGAGTATTTTCTTTAAATGATCATTCTTTGTCAATTCTCGGGGCATACCAGTGACAAGACCTACTTGTGTTGATATATTACAATGAGATAAAGCGTAGTAATCAATTAAGTAAAGAAATGTGACTATTTCGGTAGGGCTGCGACAGATGACGGAAAATGTGACGCAGAAATCAAAAGCTTCATTGGTTGAGCGAAAGATGCCTTCCAGAAACTAAGCAAAGTATTAAGACGCATCAAAGTTTCGTTAGAAAATTTTTTAAAATTGATAAACTGCTGTTTTATACCTATTCTCCTATTTCGCAGTAAATGCTTGATAGTTTCCTCACAGATGAAGAAGAGACTTGAAAAGATATATTTCCACAAAAGGATGCTGAGAATACCATGGAAGGAGCATGTGAGAAACAAGAAAATTTTACGAAGAGGTAATTATAACCAGAAAGAGATAATCGAAATTTCTAGGACACAGAATGAGGAAGTTGGGCTTGGATAATTTGACACCCACAGGAGACACTGAAGGCAAGATGGATAGAGAAATAATAATTTACCTAATGAGTTTGTATACATGAATGACAAAGCATGAATTAGGTGAGATGGAAAGGAGACAAATGTTGCTTAAAGCTACAAAGGAAAGGAATCCGTGGGATAGAAACGATCGCCCACGCCCTGAAGAGAGACGACATATAGAAAAATGCCGTCGATTCATACCTTTTCCTATTAGTATGAAGTGAATTCAAACATACTCAAACGAAAATCAAACTAGACTCGTCGATTTTATGCTTAATTGTTAATATACTTTATGGTATGTCACCATTCTGATCTTGAAAACAAAATCTTCGCAAAAAGCTTTTCTCTTTCAGTCCCCATTCTTCGCCGCTTGTGAATGTCAAAACGGAAGAACTGAAAACTCTTTGGCCTGATAGAGCAAATCTTCGGCATTGCCAGGACT